GATATTCAATATTCACGATTGTTATTAGATCTTGATAAATAAGAAATTGAATTTAAATTTTTTCTTTTCTTCTTAGGATATGAATTTCACTAAAGATTATTTTACGCCATTCAGATAAGAAAATAAGTTATATAAGTTAAAATTTTGTTTGATGTTGAATTTCTAAATATTAGAACTCCCTCAGAATCCAAATAAATAAAGATTAATAGCAAAATGTTAGTTAATTTTAAAGTTTTAATGTTATAAATATAATTTGAATGATATAATATCTGACATAAAATATAACTTACATGTTATCCATCATTATTGATTAAAAGATTTATATTAAAAATAGCAAATTTATAAGTCAACTTAAACTCGTTGTGCACATGTAAAAGTTTGGATTAACATTGAAAAATGCTAATGATTCCTACAAAAATTAAAACGAAGGCAGAAACTTGCAAAAGTCTTTTGTTATAATTCCAAAAGTGTTAAAACTTGTAAACATGAAAGAGTCAAATTTGAGGAAAATTGTTACACGATTTAAATAAGGAAAAAATATTTATAAGTAAAATTTTACTCAATTTAGATTCCTAAATATTAGGAGTTTTAAGATACCTTAAAGAAAAAATATTTAATAAATAAAGTTTAGCTTATCTTAAAGTCCTATATATTATATAAATAATTAAACTACAATTACAGTTTTGTCCAATGTAAAGCTTATTTTTAAAGGGTAAAAAAAGCGAACGACATTTCACTAAGGGCATTTGTGCTTTTAATATAGTACTAGTATCTATAAACGTGCGTTGCACGTTAATAATGACACATGATAGTTTAAATATTTATTTATATGAAGGAACAATAAAATTTAATTAATAATTATATTATAATAATACAACAATTATCTAAATGCCAAAAAAATTGTTACATTAGCATACTACGTGAATTCATAATAATACAACAATCAATGTGCTTCTAAATATGTATATATAATTATTTAATAATATTTAAATAAAAGAAAGTGACTTTTGGACATTTACGAAACGTCCTGTTAAGGAGACTCTTGGGCTTTTCACAAACGGAGTGTACTGACATTGCGTAGTGTAAATTTATTTCTTTATATAGGAATTTCAATAGTAACAAACATTGATTTTTTTTTAAAAAAAATAAAAGAATAAAATCTAATTCATAAAGGTAATAGGATTCCTAATATGTGATATTGTGTCATAAAACTAATAGGATTATAAGGCTAATGTCTAGAATTCCAATTATGTTCTTTTATTGTGAGTTACTATACTTAATATTATAAAGTTATTTTTGTAATCCAACATTTTATTCATGCTTTTATAATAATACTAGTCTCTATGTACGTGCGTTGCACGTAAATATTTAATCAATTAAAGGGTAGCTTGGTGCACAAGGCGTCCCGCATTCATGCAAGGTCTAGGGAATGACCGCACCTCAATGGGTGTGACGTAGACAACTTGCCGTAATGCAAGCATTATTTTTTATAAAAGATGTATATATGGCTTGTTGTAAAGCAATTAATGTGGCAAAAATAAAAAAAGTTAAATGCAAAAAATCATTGTCATTACATGAAAAAAATCAAACATCGTCTAAACTTGCATATATAATCAACTTAATTATGTTAGATAGTATTTATATTTATTGATAGTGTAGAAATATGCAATATGCTCATATCTTATTTAATATATTTATTTTATTTAAAAACATGCAATGATCAAGTAATATTAAATTTTAGGTAGGACAAAATTATATACAAAGATAAATTAATCTTGGATATTTAAAGGCAACCTCGCGGAAGATTTTTTTATTTATTAATAAAGTAGCATTTTTTAAGAAGGAATTAAATTGTGTTTAAAGTAAGAAAATACATTCCTAAAATTCCTAACCCAAACTGAATAAAAAGCTTTTAAAAGCATCCCTAAATTTCTAACACAACTAAAAAGGAAAATATATTTTTAAGAAGGAATCAAATATTTTCAATTCCGAGAATTCGTAATGTAAATAAAAGAGGAAATTACCTTCTTAAGAAAGAATCAATTGTGTTCCATTCCTAAGAACATAACAAATAAAGAAAAGCAAATATTTGCACCTAAATATAAATAACAAAAATTACTTAAATAAAAATAATAATAAAATGACAAAGGACTATGATTAGCAGCATCAATGGAAAGAAAGTTTTAGATAACAGGATATAACAAAAATACTTAAATTTTACTTGCCTTCAAAGACCATAAATATAAGGAATTCCATTAGCGATTGTTACTATTTTATCCCGGATGTAATGAAGCTTAATTTAATTTCTTAAGGTTAAAAGAGTCGATCAATATTTCAAGAATATTTTTGTCGTTCAATATTTAACGTACAATATTCGTGTTTTTATAATAATATAAATAGATAGATAGATATAGATAGGCAAAATTGATTTGTTACATAAAGCTTGATTTTTGTTGATTGATTGGAAGATGTTAATATGAAATCGTGAGAAAAATACCAAACGTTCAGTTTTATAGCCTGTTTGGCCAAAAGTTTTTTCTTCTTCTAATGTTAAGGTGATGGTGATGTTTTTAGAAGGAAAAAAAATATATTTTTGAGTAGAAGCAGAAATAATTTTTGAGAAGCAGAAAAAAATAGTTTCTACCCCAAAAGTACTTTTACGAAAAATATTTTTGAAAAAAATATACTTAAAAATACTTTTTAAAAGCTTGGCCAAATACTAATTATTGTTCAAAAATACTTTTTAAATTAATTAGCTAAATACAAACTGTTTTTTTTATTATCAAAAATACATTTTTACGAAAATACTTTTCAAAATAAGTTGACCGTAGAAGTTTTGCCAAATAGGCTATTAGACTGAAGGCTATTCCATCAATCCCTAAGACTTGTTACTAGCAAAAGCCTGATCTTTAGCCCATGTATGATATCAAGCGTGCCTTTCGGCCCAATTCGAGAACCAACTTTTGGCTTTACAAAATACGAAATAAAATTTATAGTAAAAATAGCACGTGCTAGCTAGTTTTCGAATTGGTCATTCAAAAATAGTCAGTATTTACAAAGTTATTAAAAAATAGCTACTATTTTGCTGCAACACGGAAGGTTCCGGCTTAATATACTGGAGATCGGTTGACATGTATATGAACTTCCAGAATATTATGCTGGAACTCCCAACACGCGAAAAGTTCCAGTATAATATACTGGAGATTGTAGGTATATTATGCTGGACCAGCAGTATACTTATGCTGGAACTCCAGTATAATATACTGGAGTATTTTTTTGGATTTTGAACAGTATTTTGGTTCAGATTTATCTTTACATGAAAAGTGATTAAAATACGATTACTTTTGAAACTGTGGCTATTTTTGAATGAACACTTGTAAATCTGGCTAATTTTGAATTTATTCCAAATTTATATTTACAATAACTCAAAGTACTATTTCATTTTAAAATATATCAACAAAATCTTCACATAATATATACAACCTCCAGAAAAACCAACAAAATTAGACTCTTTGGGGATCTCAATTTTTTATAATTAAAGATTTTTAAATGTGAAAAATTCTATATCTAAAAAATATATATTTGATTCCCCAAATAGTAATTAATTTATTAATTTTAAACATAATATTCTCCTGAAGGCTGAAGCATATCCTTGTCTTGGTCAACCAAGGCTGATAATGTGCATACCTCAGTGGTTGACTTCTATAGTGAAATCATCTATAACAGAACATTCTTGACTTCTTACAAATGATGTCCAAATTTTGGGTATTAAATAATGAAAACGAAATTTAAAAAAAAAGAAGAAAGGGTAAGCTAATATTCTGGAAGCAGCTAGCTTTGCTATAAAAATAAAGGTACAAAATTTTTGGTTAAAAAAAAAGACCGTCAACTTTATAAAACTGATAGTGATGAAAACGTGGGGCAGTTGTATCTATACCCGTTTTTTGTACCACATTTTAACCTGTGCCCGCTTTGCAAAAACATTGCAAGCGTACCCGCTTTTTCGCATAACTTCAGCATACGGGACTGAAGTAACAAAGGCAATCACGCAAAACTTCAGCATTCTAGTAGCCGGGCCTGAAGTTCAGCTCTAGAGCTGAAGTTTTTGTGTTGTAAATGGGAAACTTCAGCTCTAGAGCTGAAGTTTTTTACCACCTATTAATATTCGGCTCTAGGGCTGAAGTTTCCAGTTACAACACAAAAACTTCAGCTCTAGAGCTGAAGTTTTTGTGTTGTAAATGGGAGACTTCAGTTATTGGAGGTGCTAGGATCGTCAAATATCATGCTTCGGAGAATCATATGGACGTCATTTAAGCAACATGTATTACATACAATAAATTCTTGGATATTAGCTACCTTTGAGATCGAGGATTTAAGAACTACAGAAACAGACTAAAAGATGACAGTTGGTTGACATGACATTAACAGAGGGTTGGGAACACATAATCATAAAAGATGACTGTTGCAATGAGGAGTGCCTGCAAATCTCTTCTAGAATAGATTAGAGTTTTCTTGTGGCTTTATAATTCCATCCATGCTATTGAGTAGCTATGACCTATAGGCCGGTGAAAACCTTGTACTCTTTACGTTCATTATATTGGGGGTGAGGTTGTGACGGTGATGGAGAAGGAGGAGGAAAAATGGAGCTGAAGTTATTTAAGAAGTGAGTACAAGTTAAAAAGTTTTTTAAAAAATGGGTATAGGTTAAATGGGGGCGACCAAATAAGGCGTCCCGTTTGAAAAAGATATGCACATATTGTAACCAAATTGATAAACGTTTGAAAAAGATGAAGATCGAAAAAAATTGCTTTGATAAGATTTTGAAAATATTAGAAAGGATCCAAAATCCTCAACAACCAACAACATTTGCATAGATAGGCATAGAAGAAAAAGTATTGAAATTATTGGCTTCATTTAATGAATTTTTTTGGTTTTTTCTCCATTATAGTAATATTACTACTACTCCTCTTTTGCTATAAAATATGGATTTGAAAGCAAATTTACTCACTTCCAACATAGTTTTATTACCCAAAAAATGAAGCTAAAGAATTGTATTCTCCCTTTGTTTTTCCTTCTTCTTCTCATATCCTATTCTGTAATTGCTACTGAAACATCCAAAGATGAAAAGAAGAAGGGTATAGAGTAACTTTTCATATATTTCTATTATTATGATATAGAAGTTTTGTGTTTTAAATATTTACCTCATTTTTCTTTCGCATGAACAAAAATAATTACTACGTAGTATATATCTTACTCTTCTATATAATTTCTGATCTTCTCTTCTTTACTAGTTACTAGAATAAATTGTAAGATCTTTATTCACTTGAAAAATATAGTAATTAAAAAGAGTTTCTTATTATGTGAACCCGATATAGTTACGCCCTTACTTAAAATGCAAGTTATAATAGCACTTTTGACTGAACTAGGTGCCTAAGTAAAAGGGCAGAGATCACTTTTAGCCCACGGTGAAAATTATTTATAACTAGTACATAGCCGCAAAAATATATATATATACTCCCTCCGTTTCAATTTATGCGAACCTATTTCCTTATTTGAAAATAATTTACCTTTATGCAATGATTTATAGCCACACAAAATATATGTGTCTCATTTTACACCACAAGTTTTCTCTCTTTTCTTAAACTCCGTGCCCAGTCAAATGAGTTCACATAAATTGAAACGGAGGGAGTATATATATATATATACGAAAAATATATTTTTCGGCTATTATTTTGAGAGTGACTATACAATATCATTTTCTTAAATAAATAGGGCTTCAACTCTTTGGACGTTTATCATGTGCTAGTGTTAATCTTCATTCTATTTTCATAATATGATAAGCTTTTACTTGGTCTATATANCAAGAAGCTATTTACAATTTTACTATTGGTGGATGTTGTGAAAATTAAAAACTAATGAAAATGTTGAACTCAAAAAATTCATTTAATTAGTAATATGTGTATATTACTAATTAATGTTCACATATTGCAGCTAATGAAGTGAAAGAAACAAGCAAAGAGGAGGAGCCAAAGGAAACGGACCAGTACGGAGGCCGTTGTCGATATGGCTGCTGTGGTGGTTGGGGCCGCTATGGCTGTCGTAGGTGTTGCACGTCCGGTAAGAATTTAATTTACATACATCATTTTAGTTTCTCCGGTTATCAATCAATATAATTATAAAAATTCTCTTTAATTGTTTAATTAATTTTAACTTATCTAATTGTAATATTTTTTTATATTGTGAGTACAAGAGATTTCAGTCCATTATTTATTGATGGAGCTATTAAAGAGGGACAACTTAATTAGTTAATGATATTTTACTCAATTTGAAAAAAGTAGAATATTGTCTTTTTATATATATAACTACAGTACCTTATAGGACTATCTTTACACGAATAGCAATCGATTTTTTTTCCAGTATATATTTTATGCATTGATTATATAGGGCACAGACATATTATATATGTATTGTTATACATATGTCGGTTATTTTTAATTTAATCGATTGTGCAGTTATTTAGGTTAATTCTTCTTCTTTCATCTCTTTAAATTACGAGCACAATTTAAAATCCATGTTTGTTTCATTAAAAACTTCAATATTCTATTTCCCTTATCCGTACTGTTGCAGCTAATGAAAAAGTGGAAGAAATAAACAGCGAGGAGCCAAAGGAAACAGACCAATACGGGGCCGGAGGCCGTTGTCGATATGGCTGCTGCGGTGGTTACGGCCGCTATGGTTGCCGGAGATGTTGCACACCTCGTAAATTTCATACTTGAGCCTATTTATAGAATTCCTATAGTACATTTAATAATGGGAAAATGATATCAAAATAATATCCAGAAAAATGTATATTCTTGTATATTTTTTGTATATATACATTCTGCATATTATATACAAAAATCATACAAATTTTATACACTTTTCGGCTATCGAATGTACATAATTTCTGGGCGCGGGCTAAAAGTGAAAAAAACCCTTTAATAATGTGCAAATCTTAGTTGATAATTTAAAGTAGAGTCTTAACTTCTATACGTAAAAGAATTTTTAGACAATTAGTTAGGTCGAAAATAATATAAGTACAATGTAACTGTACTTAATAAGTGGAACTAGTTATCTAAAAGGTCAAATAGTAACATGTTACGACATTTTAAATTATACTAATAGTGTGAAAATTATATTTGCAGAAGATGCTGTAGTTGCGGAAAAAGATGATCATGCAGTGGCTGGTAACAGAGATGACGGTTATGGTTACGGCTATGGTGGACAAGGTGGTTACGGCTATGGCTGGGGAGGCGGCGGCTATGGTGGACGTGGCGGTGGCAGCTGGGGAGGACGTGGAGGCGGCGGCTGGGGAGNGTTTGAGTTTCACAGAATCTGATCCAAGCCATTGTAAGATTACAATTTGGATAAGCTTTCTTGATTGCTGCCTTCACGATCCAACTGACCTGTTGCTTCAATTTGTACATGCTAAACTTTTTCTGATTTCCGTACCTGCAAGCATAGAGTATCTTTGTAGCAATATCTTCTTAGAGTATCTTTTCTTTGACGATGTTATAGGAAATAGGAGAATGTTATGGTGTTATGTATACATATAAATAGGGCTCATTGTAACATACAATAATATTCACATATCCAGAAGATGAAAGTAGCCGAGATGAGGATGTTGAGATGGATGTGCGGGCACACTAAATTGGATAAGATAAGGAATGAAGTTATTAGGGAGAAGGTGGGTGTTGCTCCCGTGGATGACAAAATGCGAGAAGCGAGGCTTAGGTGGTTTGGACACGTGCGGAGGAGAACCATAGATTCCCCGGTTAGGAGGTGCGAGCGGTTGGCTTGGGCAGGTACGAGAAGAGGTAGATGGCGGCCTAAGAAGAATTGAGGCGAGGTGATCAGGCAAGACATGACGCGGCTCGAGATTTTTGAGGACATGGCTCTTGATAGGAAAGCGTGGAGGTCGAGCATTAGGGTTGTAGGCTAGGGGGTAGTTCATAGTTTTTCCCTCTTTGTACCGGGTAGTCTGATAGAGTTTTGCTTATGTCTGGTAGCGGTATATGTTATGTTCACACTGTTTTGTTATTTTGCATATGATTATATTATTGCACTCCCTTTCACTTATTTGGTCTAGTTTAAGATATTATTATCACTTCTTTTGCTTCTTTTGTTGTAACCTATCTCTTCTTTCGTTTCTTTTCTGAAATTATTATCTCTTCTGTTGAGCCGAGGGTCTCCCGGAAATAGCCTCTCTACCCTTCCGGGGTAGGGATAAGGTTTGCGTACATCTTACCCTCCCCAGACCCCACTAGTGAGATTTTACTGGGTATGTTGTTGTTGTACCTGCAAGCATAATATTATTTCCACAATACCCACCATATAACTATAGGAGTAATATGTAGCACCAATTTATGAACATCATTAACAGAGCTAGTTTGCCACCAAATGTCTAACATATATCTAATAGGATGGGTTGATAACTAATGCCAAGAGGGTCCCCAAAAAGTTCTCTATACATAACTAGCAGCTCTTCCTTTCATGAAAACATGATGCATAGTTTCATTATTCCAAATAATACAACAGTTACACCTAGAAACTAGAGGCTTACCAAACTTAGCAATAATGTCATCAAATGGAAGTTTACCTCTCCATAATCTCCAAACTAAAAAAGACATTTTCAAAGGGATACAAGAATGCCATTCCTTACTCAAAAATTGATGCTTTGGTCTAGAAATTCTTACCAAGTCCCATGCAGTTTTGTTGGAAAATTTACCACTGTCAGTGAGATCCCTGTTGCGGAAACCAAATGTATATAGTGTGAATAAGTCACAACTACTATACCAAAAATTATGACAGCCACCAAATAATAAATAAGACAATAAAGCAACAATAAAGGGAACACCAGAATTTACGAGGTTCGACTAATTTTGCCTACTCCTCGGACACAACCAATATTTTATTTCACTCCAAAAATACAAGTGAAATAATACTAAAGAGAGAAGATACAAATGCCTTAAACAGATGAGAAGGCAAATGAGAGGTATGTTTAAATCCTAAACATTAGGCCTTCTTTTATAGGGAAAAGGTTTCCCACCAACTCCTTAACCCACCGATGTGGGATGGAAATTTGACATATAATTCAACAATCCCAGTAGGGTTTATCATCTTTGTTTTGGTCCCCAATCTGGATATTAAAGATGTGATGAATCATATATATGGTTTGGAATATAATCTTTTAGCTTGTTAATGTTCCATTTGCCATCAACTATGAACTTACTAACTAGAGTTTTAGAACTCCTGTTAGTGCCTGGAAACAAACCAGCTAAATGACCCTTCGAGGACCAATTATCCCACCAAAAATTATATGTACCTGAGTTGATTTGCCAGATGATGTGCCTGTCAGCAATATTCCTCACTTTTAGGACATGTTTCCCAGCGTGAGAATTGCCAGAGGCCCATAACTTAGTAACCATGTGAGATCTAATACAATATTTTTGTGTAACATAAGTTACCCATAAAGATGATGTGGACCTGATCCTCCACCACCTTTTATAGCCAACATGTTACTAATATCTTCCATCTTTCTAACACCAATGCCGCCTTCATTCATAGGGACACAAAGATTATTCCAAGAACTCCAATGGTAACTGTTTCTATCAACAGTATCGCCCCAAAAAAAATTAGCAAAAAGTTTTTTAATTAATTTGAAAGTCCCTTTAGGAGGAGACATAGCAGACAAAGTATAAATGGGTAAGGATTGTAGAACACTATTAATTAAAACAATTTTACCACCATAAGATAAAAGTTTTCCTTGCCATCCATTCAATCTTTTAACAATCTTGCAAATCAGATTATCAAAATATTCAATCTTTTTTCTACCCACATACAAAGGAAAACCTAGATAGTTGAAAGGAATATTCTTGTCCATGAAATTAGTACAGTTCCTAATTCTATTAATCCTATTAGCAGCAGTCTTAGGAGCAGTCAAAAAGAAACTCTTGTCTCTGTTAACCAATTAACCAGAACTCTTTTCATAATTCCTAAGCTGTTTCATAACTAGATTAATAGATTCAGAATTACTACTACAAAAAATAATAATATCATCTGCATAGGCCAAATGGTTGATTTTAGGAAGCCTATCAGCCATTGAGAAAGGGATGAACTTAGAAAGATGGTATAGTTTACTAAGAGATCTAGACAAAATCTCAGCAGCTATAATAAATAAAGAAGGTGAGAGTGGATCCCCTTGCTCGAGACCTTAAGAGGAAGAGAAAAAAATCATATCTAGAACCATTCACAATAATAGAATACCAAACATTGGAGATAAGATTATGAACCATACTAATCCAATTTTCAGAAAAATCAAATCTATTCAAGACAGACATAGTAAAAGGCCATGACATTCTATAATAAGCTTTAGCCATATCAAGCTTGATCATAATATTACCACCCTTATTCTTTTCAGGGATATTATGGATAATCTCTTAGACCAAGTAAAACATTTTCCAAAATCAACCCATCTTTAATAAAACCAAAGAAACAAGTTTATGTAGGAAAGGATTAAGTCTTAAAGATATATTTTTGGAAATGATCTTATTAGAAAAATTAGAGAGACTAATAGGCCTGAAATCAGAAAAGCAAGAGGGTATATCAATTTTAGGAATCAGAGCCAAACAAGTATGTGAGAAGAATTTAGTCAAACTTTTGGCTTTGAAGAACTCCAGCACAAATGCTACAATATCATCCTTGATGATATCCCAACAATTATGAAAAAAGCTCCCATTATGTTACATCCCGTACCTTAACATTAGGATTCGTCGAAGTAATAATATATGAGTTGGAAGGGATTAAGGTTATACATGAAGATATGGATGTAAGACCTTGTAAGTTTGAAGAATTTCCGAACTACTATATATTGGCTTGATATGTATTTTCTTTGAAGTAAACCATTTTCGGTAAAAGTTGATAGATACGATTTTATATGGTTGTGATAAGTTTTAAATTATATACATGACATTTAGGAGTTTATAAATGAAGTTTTATTTATTATAAGAGTAGATAGTATTTTATCATAAGAAAAATTATCCTTTTTCCATTTTGAGAATTTATAGTACAAAAAATTTCTTTATTGTAAAGATAAAAGTTATTTTCTTACAAGAAAAAAAGGTTATCTTTTTAAAATTTTAAGAATTAAGCGTACGAAAATTTGTACTCTTTACATGAGATTAGGACAATTAGAAGTTGAGAAATATATGTATTTTTACATGGATGTTTTAAATAATAGTGTATGTATTGATTTTATATGGTACCATATGAACATGATAGCAGGATATGTATAAAGTATATTAAAAATGAGTAGTATTTTAAGTAATTTAAGATAATACTTAATTATGTGGGTAATTGATTAATTGCTGGGTAACGGGGCATTACCTAATTAACTAATAAGTTTGGATAAAGATTAAAATCCCCGCCCCACCCCACGTGGTAGCCTTACCTTATGGGAATAGTGACTCTTAAAGTCATTATGTTATGTAGCAAGCTTAGAGATGTGATATTGATAAAGAACTTGTCGAGTTCTGACAAATGACCGAAGATTAGTATGTAAATGGTCAAGAGAACAACAATTTACTGAACTAGGAACTCTGGTATTGTTATATACCGCTCCTCGGCTGTGTTTTTCAACCATACAATGCCTTTATGAGCTTGCTCAAAATACCTCGGACAGATTTTGCTTTCAATCTCCATGGAGATGTCTAGATTCTTCTGCAAACTGATTGAAACTTATGTTTAGACAAAATTGTAAGTGATTGTTTCTTCCTTGATTGTGAGCTTTCTCTTAAAGATGCTAGAGTTTTATGTGCATAAGATATGCTTTGTAATACGAGGTTCATGAAAGAATATACTATATCTGTCACCTGAAGTGCATAGTGTTCGCGCTTTCATTAGCATTAAGCAGCCTTTTATATGGTGTAATGCGTGAAGCAAACTAGAGTATTAAACTCGCTAGCGCTCGTCCCTTGCTTGGTTCTCCCGTGAGGGAAGGTCTAGTATACAATTTTATTCTTCTTGATTGAAGCTCTATCTCTCATTCAGCCCTTCGCAAGCTTCCTTCAAAAGGGGAGTCCATAGGCGCGAATACTCGGATTGGACATGGAAACCCCCGCGGAGTTGAACACTGACTTCGGCCGGGAGATTGATAGAGACCATCCTTTGAGGTCTTGTATATCAGGCAGATAAGTTCCCTCCACCGTAGTGCAGGTTTTATAATTTCACAGGCCATGGCTATCAAGATGGAATTGTAATTGTTTGTACCGAGTGGATCGACAAATATGCATCATTTTATGATTTGATTAATAGAAGTTGATGCTGTATAGAAGTGAGTCT